GGGGGGGGGAAGAGGTCCTTTACTCAAATTCTGTATGAGAAGTTACTTCCAATATCAATTGCTTCCAAGAAGCACTAGATATACAACTATCATCCAAAAGATTCCTACATCATACATACCACTGTTACACTTGCAGAATGTTTCATTTAGTAGGAAAGACAACTTAAGCTTTTAGTTGTTTTTAACTATGTCTGAACTGAAAGAGACAAATCTCAAATCTGTAAGTATTTGAAGAAATTAATTTTCTAGTTACTTATTAAAATCAGGTCTTTGAAACAAACTTCTGTACAACAATTAAAAAAAAAAAATTGGCCATGTCTAAGCATCAACTAGATGGGCAATGCCTAGGAAAAAAAAAAAAAAAGCCTTATTTAGGAAAATAAGTGTAATTACTTTTGCTCAGGTAGTGCTACCTGAAAAAGAAAGAAAAGATGCAATTTCTACCCTCCTCCTCCCCAACTGTTAAACAGTGCTGAGGGGAAATTAAATAATTGGAAATCTGCTATTGCCATTTTTAGTAAAAAGTAAATAGCAAAAGCTGTTAAAATATTAGACATACTTAGTTTCAGAGTCTTAAGGTCTCGCTGCTACACTTTACAAAGACAAAATTTGTTATCAGTTCTTCATTTGTAGTTTTATCACAAAGAATATGTATAATTCAAAAGTGTCCAATACTTCATGATAAAGAAAAAATAATTCTGAAGTTAAGCTTCTACAGCTCAGTGATTATTTTTAGATGCAAGTAATTATTTTGAAGTATATGGGTGTGGTCGTCTTTGGTTGGGTTTTTTGTTGGGATTTTTGCTTACTTGTTTGGTTTTTTTAGAAACTACTGCTGTTTCTCTCCCATTGTCTCCCTATCAGCATTATATTTTCATAAAAATAACCTAATGTAGGTGTTATGGAATTTTCTTACACCATTAACACCTGCACCTACAAAAAAAACCAAAGTCTTTAAGAATCATGCTACTTTCTGGAAAAGAAAAAAAAAAAAAAAAAAAGGAACACCTGAACATGTTAATTCCCATTTTTTCTTTATTAAGCTGTCTAGGAATTGCACTTTAAATTATCCAGTGCTTTAGATAAAGTCCTTTCCAGGCAAGTATTCAAAGTACCTTTCTATTTATTTCGTAGGATATCTGTGTTTATAACAAAGAAACCGTATGATAGAGCTCACTTAATGAGTGCTACTTCTCTTTTTACCATACTTCCATCTTGGTTTTAAGCTCTAATAATTTAATTTTCACATAACACTTCACACTCCTGTTATATCCATTTGAAAAAACTCTTGTCACTTCCCTGTAAAACACCATATCCAGCAAGTGTATGTTCTTTGTTGTTGTTTCCCCTCCACCTGAAAAATTTAAACCTAACAGATAACACACCCTAACTATCTCCCTAACTCCAAGTAATTGCTGACATTTTAAAAATAAGAAAAATAAACAAAGTAAGTAAAAACAGATTTCCTCATTTTCCCAATTTCTAATCTGCTCCTGACACACAGGCATGCGGTAGCCTCCAGATTTCCTTAATCACACATCACTGAAGTTTGTTTATTTTAAACAGGGCTAACAAGTCAAAGTGTTCACAATCAAGTAGATATTTAGCTACTAATTGCCACTGGGGGTGATATAGATTACTAAAGCTATGCTTTCAGGGAAGAAAATAATTGTTTTTAAAGGTACATCTCAGAGCAAGGATCAGATCTGCTTCTATCTGGAGGAGCACTACACACTGCTTTGAATTTCAGTAAAAACAACTCAAGGCATCTACAACTTGAACAGGAGAGCGTGAAGAGTGGGGAAAAAGAAATCTGGAACATCTAGGTTTCAGATGGAGATTTGACCAATAGAGCCACATTTAGTGCATACTGATGACTGTAATTATTTTATTTCATAAAGGTTACTAACCAAAGCGTTAAATTAACTTATTATGGTAAAACAGAAAAAACCCCCAAATCTTAGGTAATTTAAATTCAAGCAGGGTCCATAATACCACTCCATAGTTAAAAAAAAAAAAAAAAAAAAAAAAAGAAAAAAAAAAAAAAAAGAAAAAGAAAAACATGTTGAGCAAAACATACAAAACCTGGATACGTCACATTAGCAAGAGAAGCTTTTATTGCTAAAACTCATAAAATGGCTAAAGCTGGTACACAAAAAATTATATTAACATGGAGATTATTTCCTATGTTCTCCTAGTTTCAAAAGTAACAAAGAAAATGTACTAGAGAACTTATCAGCAATCTCTTGAGCAGAAACCGATCTGTCTGCAGCCCATTTTTTACTTCAAAAAATATAACTTTACAGTGCTATTTTAAGTGTTTTCAAAGAATCTCCAAGGTTCAACATAAAAGCCATTCAAATGTTTTAAAGCTTTTATCATGCAAAAGGTATAGAAACAAAACACAGACACATTATGAAGGTCATCAGTCTCTTTTAATGGGGGTACTGTATATTTCAATCTTGTTTAGATTAGTACATAATCAATCAACCACCCAACACAGAAACAAGTGTAAAATATATGTGATCTTGATTCAAGAAAAATGGGTCTCCAATTTCTACTGAGGGCAAAGAAGATGTAGTCCATATTTTAATAATCCATGTTTATTGTAAAAATACAACTTTCAGCAAGCCCATATACATTTAACAAGCTTCTGCCCCACAAGCATATTACTAGAAACCCTAAAAATGTGAAGTGTGAACTTCAGTATTTCCCTTACAGACATTGCAAAATTAGAGAAGCTAGGTGTGAAAGAGTATTAATAGAGAGCCAAAGCCTTAAGCTTTAATGACAAAAAAAAAAATTAAAAAAAATCTAGTAATATCTAGTACATCTGGCAGTTAGTCAACACAATTGCAAAAATATCTTCTATTGTCAGAGTGACCTGTTGACTATATTGACAGAAGAGAAAACAGTTTCAAGTACGTATTCATATTATTGACCTTCAGAATTAGTTCTTTTAATGTCTTGCTTCATGGGAGGCAAGACCCATTTTTAGATTGCTTAATGACACCACTAGAGAACATTTCTGTTAGTCAAAGCAGCTGATATATCTTCAGTTTTATTGGTAGCATACCAATTCTATAGTTAACTGGTGACATTCTAAATACCTGGTCAGGGACTAAGGTTTCTGAAACACACGCTGAAGACAAAAAAAAAAAACAAAAAAAAAGTATCTGAGGAAATTACTCATTTTCTAAGAGAAAGGACAACAGTGCATTCACTCCCCCTCTGTATGGAAAAATCCTAACAGGACACTTTGGAAATCTAACATATGTATATTTAAGATCCTATGCTACAGAGCATCATTACATATTTTAACTGATAAAACTTAAAATATTCTGCCATGCCATAAAATACATACTTGTACTTTTGAAAGAAGTTTGGAGCTTCAAAAAGTTTGGACCACTCTGCCTTACTCAGCAAAATTTCATCTGTGATAGCAAGACCTAAATTATAAAAAAAAAAATTTAAACTTTTTTTTTTTTAAATACAGTTTAGTACCCAAAGTAAAAACAGCTTACTAATTTAGCAAAGGTTACTACAAATTATTTCCCCCCTTCAAATTCAAAGGAATTTATCAACAAGCTTTATATTCTAATCATACCTTAAGTGGTCATTATTTATACAAATTATATTATTTAAAAGAACCTCAATAAAATATGTTTAGAAATGTATGTTAACTGATCAGACTGATGATTTCACATATTTTCTCTCTGCAGTGTAACCCGGCTCAGTTTAGTAATCTGCGTATGCCACAGTAACTACTCAGTCCAAACAAGATTTCTTTTCCTTACAGTACTTCAATCATCTCAGGCATTGCACAAAGCAAAGAAACAGTGAGACGAGAAGCTACTGTTCTGCCTGAGGGCGTTACTGGCAGCTGCTCTCTGCATCAAGTCTACTCCTTGCTTTGAAAACAAATTCTCTCACCTAATTACCCAAATAGATTACCAGACTATCTAGAGGACTCATCTCTGTGCAAGTTTTCTTATGTTAGGCCTTGGGCTTACTACACTAATCTTCCATTTGTCAGGACACAATCTAAAGTCATTAAAATATACAAATAAAAAATATATTGTACTGTTAATTCTCATTTTCAGAGTACAAGGCACTCTAATTAATTACCCTCAGTTTCTAACAGTGAAGGACACATCTGCAGAAGTCTACTTAATTTGGAACTTCAAGCCACATAAGCCTAACAGGCCAAGTTCTACCTCTCTCAGAAGAGTCTCATGTCAAGAAGCTATTTAACATCCTCCCAGCTCCCCCCCTCACATAGCATACCTACAATGGACCTATTTTAAATTCATTTGAATACATTTATATAGAGATCATAAGATAATACTTACCTTGTTTAAATTCCTCAACCATGACCATCCGTGTGGAAACGGACACATTGTACGTGGAGTTCTGTTGTGGGTATGCTGGTGTAATTATAGGCATAAGATGGTACCTATCACTGGGGTTTACCTATATATAACAACAGCCAATCAGTTTTCTTCAAGTATATACATGAGTTAACAAATTTGGATTTTTCCCTTTGAGCCTTACGTTCTAAGTCTGAGTCTTACAACTGAGTCTTACGTTCTAAGAGATCTTAGTTTGCAGACCAAGTAAATTTACCAATAGTATAGAGGAAGTTTAGAAAAAAAGGATAATGTTTTTACAAAGGACATTATTCTGAACCACAGTGATGTGGGAGAGCTGTAACCTGTCAGCACATCAAGATCGAGTTGCGGGAATTTAAGTTCAGAAATACCAACTGAACAGACCAATTTCTCTCTTTAATGGAAATTAGCTTGTGGTCACATCAAAGCAAGGATACCTTATCACCACATAAGCACCTTCAGAAGAATGACTGTCTTCAGACCTTGCGAAAAATATTGTATACTTTATTTTTGTTAACACTACTGAAAGTAAAGGGTCAGCAGAAGACGAGAGGCTCTGGGTAACCTGACAGAACCATCATTTGCGTTAACGTATCTTTTATTAAACAGCACACAGGGAAACAAAAAAAAGGGACAACACACACACACATGCAAAATATATTTAAAATATCATTAGAGTAGCAATCTTGTAGATGGTAAGTTAAAGATAAAATCCTGTCATTAACTTACCCCACTTTGTTTAGCTACTACAAGACAGTTCCCATCACACACTGACCTCAAACACCCTAGCCCAGGAGTAACAGTAAGACTCAAGAACACTTTTTCAACTGTCTCACATTATTTAAACATGGACTTTTGTCAACCAGAAAAACAGATCTGAAGTACAAAAGGGCATACACAGCTCAACCTCTGGTGCTTACGCTATTCACTAAAAAGATTAGTTGAACACTAACTATTCTGAAATTGACAAAACAGTGCTGAACACATTCATGCTATGCCCTACTGAAACCTCAGAATGTGACCTGTGCATCTGCTGCAAGCTGTTTTATTGACTGCCTGAAGGACAGCAATGTCCGATGTCTTTAATATAAGTACTACAGAGAGAGAGATCAAATATTATAAGCAATATACAAAACAACTCAGGACTTCAAGTTACAATCTTCTTTGGTCCAAGATTAAAAGACACATTACTACAACTATACGGAACTGAACCTATCCAGCTGTGCCTGTTGCACTGAAGTGAATTCAATATACTTGCAAAAGTTAACATGTCTTAAGTCAGAAGCAAACATTTTTAAGATAAGTAGTTTTTAAAAAATGCATTGCTTTAAGGCATATATTTGATTACACTGAATATTTATTAATATCACTTACTGTAAAAGTTGGGAGTAAAAAGTACACTTTTCAGCAAGTGTGCTTCAAGCAGTCAGTTTACAAAATTAAGCTTTGTTCCACACTCAGGAGAACTAAAGGTTACTTAAAAAGAGACATAATACTAAAATATTAAGTTTAATAAACCCCAAAAGAAGGTCACCTACGATTCTTTAAGCAACTGAATTTATTGTACAGTGTGACTTATAGGGGAAAAAATAATACACTAACCCTTGGGTCCCACACAGGCAAATTAAGATTGCATTCTTCTGGCTGTTTCAATAGCACTGGATTTGGCCATTCCCTGTTCAAAAAGATTGTAGCACTGAATAAGACTATTGGATACAACCACGTATGTTCAACAAACAATACTTTTGAATGCGATCCTCCTTAACTCTGCACTGAAGGCATAGCATCATTTCCTCAAGACTAAGCTGGTCTAACTGGGGTTGTTTAAATAAGCTGTATTCCTGAACTACAATACAGCTGTAATTAGCCTTTCCAGGGCATCAGAACAATTAATTTTCTGTAGTCTTAGAGCTTTATAACCACTGGTTCCGGTAACTTAAGTAAACTTCTCAAAATTCTTCTTGAAATAAACCTATCAAAGAGAAATTCCTCTAAGAAAATTGACATTGGGTCCACCTTAAAGCTAGCTGTTTTGCAGACAAATTGCAGAAGAAACAGCCAGCATGATTACAGCATTGTAGCACCATTACAAAAACATATGTATGAAAAAAAAAAATCCAATCAAGACAAAAAGAAGCTATGCCAAATTAAACGCTAAAAAAAAAAGTAACACTTCTGTTCTTCATTTTCATCTATTAGCTTAGTGTTGCAAGATATTATTAAACCCTAAGTACCTCAAAGAGGCTATAAAACCTGTGGATTCAAGACAGTGAAACTGTGCAAATTATCTTCACATTAAGGAAAGACACTATTCTTGAAGTAAAGCAACAACTTGGTACAATGATTCTTAAAAATCTATCAATGTCTCGTGAAGAATACAGGTATCCAGACACTCTCTTTCAAGAAAAACTGTATTCATTTGTAATCTGCGAAGTACACTCTTGTCGAATTCATTCTAAATTTATTTGGAATGTTTCCATTACTCCCAGAGTTATTCAAACCATCTTTCTGAGATACCTATCTCAGAAGTATGAAACCATATGTAATTCCAAAACACCTACCTCTCCACACTGACAAGATTAAAAAAAAAAAAAAAAAAAAAAAAAACAAAAAAAAAAAAAAAAAAAACAAACTAACCACACTGCTGCCAGTGGTTCTCTTGAACTGCACTTAAGCTATGTACCTAAAACAGATGCTGACATACTCCATTTTCCCATTATCCCAATATCTGAATATTAAAAGACTTCAAATTTTGGGGTGTCTGCTCTTATTTTGCACTATACAAGTATTTTATCTTAAAAGCAATACTGAGTTATGAAAAATACTTAAGAAAAAATTAATTTAAAACTGTGTGGGTTTCTTTTGGGTACTTTAAGAACAAGATAGGTTGGATGACTTGCTGAGAACCTCAAGCTAACAACTTTTTGGCAGCAAGAACAATGTTTATAACCCCGATCTTAATCTGGTAACAGCTGAAAATGATACCATAAAAACAGGACTAAAATGTAGTGTCTACAAACAATTTTATTTTAGTGTAATCTAAATTTTTTAAAAAATTAAACAACAAAACAAAAAAAAAAAACATACCATTTAGAAAATACCAAGAAAAATTTATGTACAAGAGTTGATGCTATTGCATTTGGATAAAGCTGGCAAGTTCTTGCTACCAGCATAGCCCACGAAACACCGCCAAGGAAACCTAGTATATTGGAATAGATGTTGTGGCCTGCGGATTGAGAAGGAAAGAGACAAAAGGAGAGAGTTATCAGTAAGCGTAAGAGTTAATGAAAACTTCACAAATTTTGCAGTAGAACTGCTTACGTTTTGCCCACAGTTTGATAGCTCTCAGTGTTAACCTGAAGTTGTCAATGTTTGGTACTAGATGCAGAATTTCATCGGTCACCCGGCAACCTGCCAAAAGAAAGAATCTATTACACTTGCTGTCTCCAAAGATTTTTGCTGGCTTATCCCCCCTCACCTTCAAAGCTATCAAATTTTTTAGATCAGCACGATGAAAACCTATTTTGTATTTTGATGATTTTAGTTTTGAACTAGAAAGCTTAAAATATTTTCGTTTGTCCCTTTTTCACCCCCCTCCTCTTTTTTACTGTTTTACAGCAGCACTCAGGAAGCAAATTCACACACATCTAGTTATTGTTTTGGATGGCTACTTGTTTTACTGTTAATGAACTGCACAAGCTCTGTTTTCAACTGCACAAGTTTGTTTAAAAAACAAACAAATTGTAAGTTGTGCTGTTATGAGGTTACATGCAGTATATAAAAGAACACACAGACAAATTTAAAAAAGCATCAGTCTTCATGAAGGTACAGAAAATCTGTAAGTCATAGGTCAAAGCTTTGTTTGAACTTACAAGAACAGGCTAAAAAGAATAGTTTTTACACATACAAGTTGCATCTTTACTTTGAGGAGATATTTCCAGGCTTAAGAATAACATTAGAGATGACGATATTAACTGCTTGATTTTTTTTTTTTTTTTTTTAATCAAGAATAAGTAGTTGTTCATTGTTACTAAATAGTTGCAGAGAGTTGGTGGCAAGGAAGTCGTATTATCTAAGACTGGGAGTTCCTTTCAAAGCAAATGAGAGACAAGTATGAATTCTAGAGACTGCACAAACGGGAATTATCAAATTTTCAGCTCACAACAGAAATCAGTGATATGCCACGCGCTCCTCTATCCCGTCAAGTTGCATACAGGCTGAATCCCCTACCATTCCATACATAAATAATTTTTTTTAAGTTATAGTATTATAGAAAAGTTAAGGGTTACACAAGCTGGTAAACTACGAAAGACCTGACTTCAAACTAACAGTATTTTGATATCCCAAATTTATCACTAAAGCAACTTTTAATATGTATAAACATATTAAAACATATATAAATTAAAAAACATGTACATATAATTATTTATAAAAATAGACAGTGCTTCACACAAAAGTCTTGCAAGTACCATTAATCTCTGGGCAGCACCACTTAGTACCCAAATAAGAGAAAAAATTTATAAAAATCTGGTCAACGAGAAACAACCCTTCTCTCCAAAAAGATGGAGAAAACTGGGCTGTGACTTCATTTCCAGATAAGGAGCTGCTGTATTTTCAGTCCAGTCCACAACTAAACTACAGTATCAATGATCTAATGTACTTATTAAAAGATTAGACAAGAAGTTTATATACAAAACTGTATATACATACCATTAAGACTTCGTATGCATCTAATGTCTAAATTTTTAAGCAGGCTATCGTCTCGTAAGTCTAAGTCCTCAGGAATAGTTTGCAGTGCTAATCTTGCAAACAAAATATCAATCTTAAAAAAAAAAGAGATAAGACGTTAGAAAACTGTTCTTTCTCTTGTAGAATTAATTCTGCAACCCATTTTCATCAAGTTTACTAATAAGAATCATAGTCTTCCTAGTACAAAGAATCTCTTTAAACAATACATACTAACACCCTTCACAAACATTAAAAGAAACACTTTCAGATGCTTCATCTACCTTATGGCTCCTTTTCTAAGAGCATAAAATACACATTAAGAACAATATAGAACCAGCAGACACATAAAAACTATGTCAGCTGTTAACATGAATAAAAATAACGTGGGGAAAAGCACCACTCTGAGGTCCAGAATACAAAATTCTACTACATCAAAGCAAGTCAAGAAAACATAACCTAACTTTAACCTAAACATTCTCAAAATTATCACTGAACTACAGAAAAAGGAAAGACCCTTCCCATCTAGCACTGTAAAGCACAGTTGTGCAACTAGTTGCCTCTGTATGGGACCAGTATCTATGAAAAGTCTACCTATCCAATTACAGAAAACAGGAAGTTCTGAAAACCCAGCAAGCTACAGAGCAAGTGTACAAAAATGTATAGATTTTGAAATTATGTCAAATTTGTCATCATAGCTTTTCTAGGTCAAGAACATCTAAGACACTGTCCAGTACTGAACTAGAAGTTTACATTGTCCCATACACAGCAAGGACATTACACAGAGTAGAGAAGTCAGTTTGCCTTTCCAGTCTTAGATTAAGCAGCAGTCAGTCAGTATGACAAGAACATAAAAGCGTGTATCAGCAGCTGGTCTGCTAGGTAACAAGTGCCCTTCACAAGATGAGGCTTCTAATGACCATAAACTTATAAGAGTTCACCTACAAGACAATGAAATACCTACTGCTATTACATCAAGAACAAAACTGTTCTAGTTACATTAAAATTATTTCACATAAAATGAAGTCGAAGATATCTTAAAATGAAGAACTTTTTGTAGGTACTTAAAACTTTGCATCCATTTCAAACTATGAAGCACTTTTCCAAAGAAAAGTAATTTCTGATGTATTCAGTGAACTTTAATAGCTAGTCTTAACAACATTCTGTACTACAAGTAGAAATTTCTATTTAAGTCAAAAGTACTACTTTTCAACATAAAACAAGTTCAAAATTAACTTCAGCTTCAACTTCTATTCTGATTTCTAGGTGGCCTAGTACCTCTAAAGATTCAAAGTTCATTGGAAATAAAAGGATTTTTCAAATCAAGAAATTACTAGTCTATATGATTTTTTTTGGGGGGAGGGGTGCAAGGGAAGGAAGAGGAATCAAGTTTCTACAGAAAGAACATAAAAAATCAAGAAGGTTCTTGTTTAGTTTAAGCAAGAACATAAAATCTGTATGTATAAAATGGTATTAGCAGAAACTTCTGAAGTTTCTGAACTTTTCCTCAGTTCTAAGTTTTCCTGTATAGAGACAATAACTTCTGACATCTTTTGCCTAGATTAGGAAAAGGAAAATTAAATTAAAATCTTCTGATGCTGACATAACTAGGCACAAAGCCAACCATCAGAAATCGTGGCCTAACAATACCTGTATACATAGAAAGAGTGCTTATAAGTTAGTGTTCAAGACTGAAGAGCTCTCAAGTACTGTCAGCAAGCCTAAGCCATCAAAGCCCATCAGAAATTATTACACTGGAGCAAGATACTACTACTCTTATAGCAGAAAATCCCTTCCTTTCCCCACTTAGGCTTGTATTTTGAATTTTATTTTTAAAAAAGGAGAGACAACAGTGGCTTGAATGTAAATGATTGAAAAAGCCATACAAGTAACAGGCTAACCAGAGGACACCTATAGCAAGTTTCAATATTACAGTGAATATCTAAGCTATGTAAACAGAAAATAGATTAAAAAAGAAAAAAACAAACCAACAAAACCCTGCATTCCTAATACCCAACTGTATAAGGACAGTAATAAAATGGTTGACCCAGACGCAAAGTCACAGGCTAGCTTACTGCATGGTATCACATTTCTCAGTACATCTCTGTCTCTCATTTGGAGAAAACACATCTCTCCGCATAAATGTTAACCAACACAAATGTCAGGGAAAATACAAACAAGTTGGATGGGTGAGGGCAAAGGGGGTGGTAAAGGAGGTGGGTCATCTTCCAGAGACTCAAAAAGTGCCAGTACCATTATAATTGCAAGGTAGAGATTTAACACAGACTGGGAGAGAACAAACTGTCTAGTCTTGTACACAATACTAAACTCTTCAAATCAGGTCATGTGTCAGAAGATTATTATGGGAATTCTTTCCCCACCATGAAGTACCTTTCTTATACCCACCAGTTACTGGCTGACTGGTGGGTATAATCCAGCCACAAGTCTCATCAACTGTGTGTATGAATAGTTCATGTTTTTGTCTTGTCACCAAGAAAAGATGACAGGTTGGCTATAAAACAGTCTGAGAAAGATTAACAGAGTATCTTTTGAAAACAGTGTTTGTATTTTTTCAGTAACTTCTCCCAAAAGAGCAAATCAAGTTAAGCAAGGTCATCACTCCAAGACAGCTGATCCATCAGGCTACAGGCACCAAAACCAATGTTTTGGTCATGTGTTCACAGATGTCTGAAGAGTTTAGGACAAGTGGGATACCCAGCTTGTCTTCAGCAGTACAGTTTTAAGAGCTAATGAAAGAACACACAACTTTCTATAGTATAAGGTATTGGAGCAAATCTGAATTTAAGATTTGTACAGTTAATTATTAGCAGCCAATAAGTTACTGAAGCCACATTATTTATTAATATAATTTCTAGTAAATGTTAAGTCCTAATAACAGCAATACTGGTACTCTACAGGTCAGTAAACTAATCAGTACAGGTGAGCAGCAGTGCCTAAAGAACAGGGAGATATTCTACACGCAGCTTTAAGTAGATCAAAAAAGACTTGTTTCAGTCTAAAAGCCCCACTTGAAATTACACAACTAAGGACTGTTAACAAGGACTTTTAGGTATGAACTTAGAGAAAGTCACTTTAATAGCATTCATATTAACAAATACTACATCAGTTATGGAGATCTTGGAAGCTTTGTTTTAACCGTGTTCTACCAAAACAAAATAAAAGATGATCTTTACCTCTATTCCATCAAAACAAAGTTTAATAACTGGGACAAAAGCTTCTTCAACAGCCTGAGGGGAAAAAGTTAAATTTTATTTTCAGTACAGAGAAGAATATTTACAGGCAATAGCTAGCAGGTCTAAACAATCATGATGAAATGCTATTTATACAGATACTTTTCTGTTTTCAAGTCAATTTTTGTGAGCAATATCTTTCTCCACCACAGCTGTCCAGATGTTAATTATAACGCAAACTCATACCAGCCAGCCCTGAAGATGTTACCTCAAGGTCCAACTCTCTTACTACCTGTAGGACATGAGCAAGTATCTTCTACTCCCCACGGCATCTCTAAGTATTCTAAGTAATCTCTAAGTATTCTATGAGGATTCTTACTCTACGCCTCCTCTTAACTTCTATTGTTTCTGCAATCCGTATTTTATGAGAAGTGACAAGGAGACAACCGCGTAACTATGCAGTCTGACTTCACCTAAACCAGTTGCAAGTCTCCAGAGTTCAAGCATCTTTTCTAAATCTGGTCACTAAGAAGGTACTTTGACAAAGAGTATTCATGATGAAAACAGGGAACTTGACGTCTACTCTACAATCAGCTAGGAATACCACCTTCCTGCACTGAGCATCTGAACTAAAAGCAAATCTGCAGAGCACTGCTCTTGTAAAAGCAAAGAACACTCTATACCTCTGTAAGAAATGTTAGGAACTGACAGAGACTAAATGCAGTTCTAAGGATGTTCCAATTCTTAACGAGAAAAGGAGACAACACTAGTCTATGTGCTTAACCTTAGCTGAAGTTACCCTAATGTTACTGGGTTGGCAGGATGGAACCTAAGCAAAATACGAAGGTCACAAGTCTCTCAGACTCACTCACTAGAGCAACCACTAAGAAAGTCTAGGTTCCCTAAAGATGGAGATGTACAAACTTTCTTAGACATAGCTGGAATGACATAGAAGTGTTGTAGCATCCTGACCTAAAGTTCATTTGCATCACTGCAGAGCTACACTGAATAGCATACATTGGTCTACTCTGCTGCTAAATCAACTACGTTAGCTTGTGTTACATAAAGTTTATAGCACAACCGTAAATCTGAAAATCAAAATCCTCTCAATGTGGGTGGATACAGCATGTGAATTTCAAGATTACTAAAAGTGTTCAGCTAATAAAGCATTCAAAACAGTTGTTTCAGTGCATATAGTATTATCACAAGATGTTTGCACTACACTGGTAGTTGCCAACTGCAGGATGCAGAGAGTTGCAAAATGCTGCAAAGACAGTTCCATTTATTTTATGGGATAAGGCCTAAAATCAAACAAAGTTCAACTTGCAGCAGAGAATTTACTCTGACCTAACACTGAGAAGAAGATTGAAGCACCCACCATTTCGCCCAGGAAGGCCTGTCATTTAGGTATAAAAGAAACAAAATACCACTTCATCTTCCATTCCTACAAGGGAAATCTTCATCTTTACATGCTAAAAATCTTGCACAAGCATCTAATAATGGGACACACTAAAAATGTAACTTCCATTTTCAAATGCAGAGTTGACAGCCAATACAAAAGGTTAATAGCAACCTCTGTAATTGTTTATATTAGCATGAAATTATAAAAACAGCAGCATAACAGTTTACTTTAAAATCTTCACTAAACACACACAAGTTTGGTCCTGATCCTTCTCAAGCTAATACATTTGCATCTGCCTGCTGCTAGAGAGCAAGCAGAACTTTTGCAATACTAACACACATGCTAGGAGATCATTCTGCCATCCAGATTTTTAAATTAATGTCTCTATTAAATGGGAATAGAGAAAATTTGGAAGAATCTCTATTTATTTCAACTATAGTGATAGGCTTTGCTGCAGGTTAACTAAAAACCCACTGCAAGTCTTAATAGTAAAGTTATATTTACTTATTTAATGCATCATCTTTCACTATTAACTTTTCAGCATCATCAGTTCAGCTAACTGTATCAAGCAGTTCACATACCCTCAGATCTTTTACTTCTTCTTGTTGTTTCAGTTTTTCATAAAATGATGTGAAAAAATCACTTCTTTCAACATGTCTTGGTGCAACACACAGGGCATCAATATCAGCACCTGAAATTGTTTATTAGCACAAGTTAGTTACACTTCACACACAAGAAATGCCAAAAATAACCAGAAATTTTTCTGAAACCTAACAGAAAAATTTAGTTTCTCTTTCCTGAAGAATGGCTTTTCTTTGGGAACACTAATTCAAACCAAATGGAAAAAAAAACCAAAAACAACAAACGAGTTCATAGGCACCAAGCATACTGAATACACACATATATTCTTCTTTCAATTGTGGAACATTTGAAATAATTTTCAAAGAACAAACCATGAGAAGCCAGGTATATAACTTTCTCTATTTGTAAATAATTTCCAATATTTTTGTCTGTTTCCCAACCCATTACAGAAGCATAATACAGGAACCTGTTTCTTTTATTTAGATTGAAGATTGGAGATGGCTGACAAAAAAAAAAAAATCTAGCACCACCTCAAAAGACAGCAAGTTTTTGTTAATTAACTGTGAAATTTACAGGTATGTCATTAGCTCAAACACATGAGTTTTTATAATAAAAGTAAATATTACCTTTTGTATGAACTCCTAATCTATAGGATCCAAATGTAAAAATTTTTCCTCCAACATTTTCTATTACAGACTGTGGAAGATTCTAAATGGAGCAAATAAAACTGGTTAATAAGTTATAAAAACATACACAATTTATTTTGAAATAAAAGGAAAACTATTTCACTAAATTTATGTTATTTAAGGTGCCGTTACTACCAAAATAATAATTTTAGTTTTTACAGAAAAGACAGAGGTATGTTTACCATTTTACAACTATTTGCAACATTTCAACTACATTACACATCACTGCCTCAAACCTGGCAATTGTTCCAGCGTTCCTATGCTTCAGGCACAACAGCTTTAAAATACTATAGACATTAAATACATTTTGCTCAATACTCAGGCATTTTAGACCGACTTTAAAATTGGTAACGAATTCCAATTTAGAGCAACAGAAAAATACTATTTACAGTGTCAGTGTTTACTAAGTTAATTTCAGTGACATCCATACCACATTCTTTAAATAAAAGTCTGGTTTTGGGAGAGGCATTTATGTTAAAATTGTTCAGGTACATCTGAAGTTCCTAGACCAAGGATCAAGAGACATATACCAGGGTCATCACCACCCGTATTCTTGTTCATACATAAATCCCCATTTCATAAGAGAAGTGTACAAAAAAAAATGCAACCCTAAATGTACTCAAAGCAAAATAGCTTAAAAAACCCCAGATTTTTACCCCTTAAAAAAGCCACTTCCATCTTTACATTTTTGCAAGTCTATAAGCAGTCAAAAAAACTGGGGGGTGAGGTTGGCTAAAATCTGGCAAAAAACACTACTATCATTATCAGAGTCTACAAAAGTAACATAACAGGACTTTACATTAAAGCAGATGACTATAGATCACAAAGCTGCAAGAAGTCCATTTTAAGATCTACCAACGATTCACAAAGACGAACGATTTAAGTATATAATTAACATAGTGCTACATATATTTATTTTGACAAAAAGTCAAGCTATATTTCTACCCAGGCAGAAGAAAGAACAACTGAAAATTACTATTACAACTAATGACTTTTTCCTATATTTATTAGTTTTTTTCTTTGACAAGGTTCTACTTTGAAGGGGTGATACTGCCTGGAAACAGAAGAAGCTGCACAAAGGTGGTATTTGTTTTTCCAATTAGATCAAATTCCATTCCCCAAACCTGAGATTCATCCCATTTAGACTGTGAATATATTTTAGAATTATCTTCCCACAGCAGTCTTAGTATGAGCAGTTACACATAAAATACATCCATACCTTGCTTTCACTGATTTCCCGTATCCATTCCTTTACCAGGTTATTTAATTTTCCCAAAATTAGAATCCTATTGATAAAACAGCAGAATCACAGGTCATGAACTTAGACCAAACTAGTAGTATTTTTTAAGACCCTGATGACACACAGTAAGTCAACTACAGTACCATCACAGATCTCATTACAGATCTTGTTTTATATATACATATATACACACACACACACACACACGGTAAGAAAGTCACTCATAACATTTCCACTATTATTTCCCCTTGGAAGATGTTCAAGCCATTCAAGCTCAGAGAAAATGCAAGCATGCAAGGCCTACAAACATCCTAGGTATATGAATTCTACTTGCTTTCAAAATAAAACCTTAATCCATAAAATACATGCACCTAAAAGAACAGTGAAAAGCAGTACTGAGAACAAAACAGTTATGAAGGGAAAAAAAAAATGCAAGCCAGTCTCCAAAACGTAAAGTCATTTTAATTCCTTTCTGCATTACAAGGTATTCCTTTTAAGATGAGAAAAATCAAGCTTAATATTCAACTAGACTTTTAAGAAAGCATTTGAAAGAAAATAAACATGCCTGGGGTTCAGTAGTCAACCACATGAACCTCAAAATAGGAGAAAACCGCTCCTAGTGCTCACTCACCTGCGTTGCAGCTCTTCTTCCTCTTCAAATACACCATAAGGTTTTAGGGTTTCGATTAATTTCTGGGTAAGCATGCAGTCAACCTCCTTGGGGGCAGCTAAACTGATAGGTGAGGTAATGCCATAATGCTTCTGTAGTTGCTGTGTTTGTGATCCCTGGGTTGTAACGGGACTAATAAAGGCAATTAGATAAAGTTACCGACAGAGACAAAACAAAACAAAACATTTTAAATTATTTTTTATCATCAGGGTAGCAGACAAGAGACACATACTAAGGAAGTAAAAAGTTAAACCTACTGTTAGCATTCACATCCCAGATCAATCTATGTTAAATCTGTGTTATTAAGGATAACTATAGAATTACCTTTCTCCAACTATAAATATTGACTGCAGGGTTACAAGTCGCTACAAGGCATGATCTTTTACATCAGCTGACTTCACACACTCCCAACATTCTCATAATTAAGGAGGCTTTAGTATATTTTGAGCCCACCAGAATCACACGGTAGCTTTAAGCTGATTTATCTGCTGGCTAGCGTAACAGGATGGTTAGAAAAACATCAGCTCAATCTATGCTGGCAATATTACATACAGCCTTGATTTATTAGAGGAGTGGGGGAAGAATATCAGAGGTTTGTGCTAGACTTTGTCTAGACTCTGTCTAGCACAAGTACCAAGGATGTCAGCAGCACTCTCTTCACATCCCTCCTGTTTCCTTAACACAACCCTTTATTTCATGTAAGTATTTATCTAAATAGGAAAATAACCCTAAAGTAAACCTAACCCACCACAACGGATTAAATCTGCAAGGACCTAGTTCACTAATAAACAGTCCAATTCCAAGCCTTCACATCACCCTTGCCTTGCACTTTGCAAGCTACACAGATATGGAGCCAAACCTCAAGCACAAGGATGATACTCTCAAGCCAAACCCCACATTTCAACGTTGCAAGAAAGGAGATGACGCAAAAGAACTTCAGCAAAAACACAAAAGCAAAGTTATCGTCATATTGTGAGAACTAATAACAGCTTTCTTAGATAAGCATTCTGGATGAAAAACAGGCATGCGGTTTTTCATAATGGGCAGATATTTGTTTGCAACATTCACATTTAAACCCAGCCTTATTTTTGAGCTTCAAGGTTAGTAATTCTAAGAGTTTCAAAAGAACACTGTGTTAACCTGTATTATTGAAATTATAGTCTTACTACATAAGATTACTCCCTGTCAAAGGTATAAAGTAATGTTTTGTTTAATACCTAATGTATAACTAATATTTTTAATTCAGATTATACTTTTTTTTTTTCTTCTCCTGAATTCAATTATTCATTCTACAAGGGCAAAAGCTTTCCCATCAGTTTGGTCTCCTTCAACTTTCACAGAGATAAAGTCTAAAGTTAAGAGAATCCTTCTTGTCAAAAACTCAAGCTGACAGCTTATATCAAAGTCCTATTCTCGGCAAGCACAACACTCCCCTGTATATTGGCGTATTATCAGTCCTCCATGTTTATACATGTTATATCCTATTTCTATCATACAAAACAAGAACTATTTTTTCAGTCTAACTACATATTATGTGCGGGAAAACTACGGTACAACTTCACTTTTATTTCTGTAATCCGTTGTGATCATCTCTTCAGGACTCCATTCTTCGTTTCCATGAAAACAAAGTATTAGAAAAAATATTAACTTCAAATTTATGGAAATCAACAAAATCTAATTTTCTACAAATTAAAATAATTTTAAAGCTATTCTAAGTAATAGAATTTGTTTGAAATCAGGAATTCAGTCGCAATGCAACTTTCTCACAGAGCAAGCTCTAGTATATTTGTCCCTTTGCTTGTTAGCAAAAGGGGGAAAAAAGCAAAGTAGGAAAAAACCTATAAAACATTTTAAAAAAACCCCCATCAACCCCCAAGTAATCATGTTTGGGAACACTACTTGACATTGCTTCCTACAGCTAAGATGTTTTAACCACCTAAAGAAGAATTTGGTAGCAGCTGAACAAATCATAGAGACCTTGGGACTTTATGTGTGAATAAAAACATTAAAAAAGAAAAAAGCTGTCCAGATGAATTAGATAAAACAGTAATTCAAATTAAGGACAGAGGAAGCCAATAAAACAATTTTTCTCATTAAAAACAAACAAACAAAAAAGGAATATAAACACAAATAGAATCAAAGAATGGTTTGGGTTGGAAGGGACCTTAAAGATCATCTAGTTCCAACCCCCCTGCCATCAGCAGGGACACCTTCCACTAGACCAGGTTGCTCAAAGCCTCATCCAGCCTGGCCTTAAACACTTCCAGGGAGCGGGCAGCCACAACTTCCTTGGGCAACCTGTTCCAGTGTCTGACCACCCTCACAGTGAAGAGCTTCTTCCTAATATCTAATCTAAACCTCCCCTCTTTCAGCTTAAACCCAGAGCAGCTTCAGCCACTTAGTTGCTACTAAAAAAGCAACTGGAAAAAAAGAGGTCTCAATACATAAACATATTTTGGATACTGCGAATATTTTTTACTTAAACCACAAAGCAAGCAGTTAAATTTGAACTGTAATTTCTCCCCTTTTGCCAACTGTTAATTTAAAAAATAAATTTGCTATTTAGTTTAGGATTTTGCCATTTATTCGTACAGGTTTTTAAAGCAGTAATCTAAAGCAATCAGTATTTTAGTTTTGTGTGACAATTTCCTAACAATCTGCCTGTAATTTTCACCCACCCATAACTAGAAACTGTATCCAATTCAACTGATATTGGGCTTCATTGAAAGGGTTGACAAAACAGCCTGCCAGAGGCTGTACTAAGATTTCAAAAAAAGTCTTTGTGTCACTCGGACCCAGATTCTGTGAGACAGACTCCTAAAGTCAGTAATGCTGACAGAGCCCTCTGCCTTCCACCTGCTTATAAGGGCCATGCCTCACCAATCTGAGAACTAATAACTTAAAAATAATCCATCACCTTGTCCTCAAAATTACAATACAAAATACAATAAAAACCAAACAACAGATTGCTTCCCTGATCTGGCTTACAGCAGAAGCCTGGCAGTGCAATATGCAGGTCTGTCTTCACAAAAGACCATGGTGACATAAACCAGGATTATCTCCAACCCCTACAGGACCACCCCAGCATGGCCACAGGGCACAAAATAAGCTTTGAAACTGTTCACTAAAATGAAGCTTTAAACCACTTATTAAATCAACCACTGGCCATACATCTTTGGGAATTGTTACTCAAAAACAGTTACAGTTTTTACAGCTACTGCTTTTTTATTCATTTATTTTATAAGAATGAAATAAAGATGCTGTCAACACCACAGGACCTTCCTACACAAATGTTTCACCTGTGTTTGAAGGTTGAGGAGTTAGTAAGAACACTTTCACTGGGATGGTATGTAACAACTCTCAGCACAGTTGTCTTCTCACATATTTTACAACTTCAGAAGATAAAATGAAGCTTACATTTTAACAATATTAAAGAGAATACAGGTTACCTCCAGCTAAAAACATTTAAATTGAAGCTGAGCTGTTGTCACTTGTTGAAGTTACGGCTATTCTAAGGTTTCTATTGCACACCAAAAGATATTAGAAAAGTGCCTTTGTAAAACAACAGGAAAAATGGTATTTAGCAAGAAAGTTTGTTAAACTCATTTAAGGATACAATAACTAACTAGTGCTAGGTAACCCATGTTTATTCATTTAAATGACAGCAAGTCATGAAAAGTTATTTTAAAACAAACAAGTAAAGGTATATCCTCTCCCTGCCTCCTACCATCCACAAAACCAAGAAACTTCAAATAAAACATTTGCTAGCTGCTTTTCTAAATTATCACTGAGAAATAAACCACATTAAGATCTTGCTCTCATTCTGCTATGAATATGAGCTACCTGTCAATAGCACAAATATAAAACAAAGTTGCAGAAAGCGATGTAGAGTTAAATTTAACACGCTATTGCTGTTGCTCTGGTTTGACCTGAATTTTTGAAGAGAATATGCTGACAGTTTAAACCATCTTCAAATTAGGCAACAGCAGCTTAATTCTAAAGTGTTATGATCCAATATTTCATATTCAAATATTAATCTCATCTCCCAGAGGAATGCACATGTACTTTTTCTCCCCATATAAAAACACAAACATACACAAAGTTCTATCCTGTACTAAGCTGACAGCAGTACAGCTAAATAACCTGTTCTTCAGAATGCAAAGTTTTGGTAGGCAGTATCTTCTTATACTGTTATCAAGAGCTACTGAAATAAAAAGAACAAACCTTAGTAATATGGCCACTGCTAAAACCATTTTACAGAGTGCAAAAGTAGAAGGTAAAAAAACAAAACAAAACAAAAAAAAAAAAAATCCCCCCCCCCAACCCCACAGGCTTTACAGTTTCCAGAGCTGTACACCTTTAAACTGCTTCAAATGGAAGTGACAGTTCTACTACTGTTCTAAGGTAGAGGGGTGAAGATTGTGAGATAAGGGAAAAACTTTCCAATGCATCTTTTAAAGATTATATTACACCCTGAACACATCCATGTAAACTGAAAATAGACTTAGAGCAAATACAGGTGTATCTATATAACACTGCCCCATACATAACTCAGACTTAGATACATATTTTAAGTACTGCACAATTGATTTCTTTTACAACACTGGAACCTTTCTCCATCCTCAGAAGAAGTAAGAATCCTGTCACAGACTTCTTTTTCAAGCATGCTTTGTATTTAACCCTCCTACTACCCCACATGAAAACCCCTGTCATTCTAAGCACTTTTTCCTCTTCACTCCAGTATTCTACCTCAGTTCTGCTTTCTTGAGTTACTCAAGTTAAGATTTTATGTTTCTTATCAGAACCAAAATACAGTCGAAATCAGCACCACATTATCTAAACATCATACTCCTGAAATTTAGGATGCTTCACGGAAATAAAAGACAACACAAACACCTGAAATCTTAAAAAAAGATGCCATATTTACCAAATTACAACAGTTTGAATCACGCGTAAGTTTAAAACTCATCTCTGATCCACCCTGAAACAGATATTAACCCCCGAAAATCTGATTTAAACATGTGCCAAGTGCATGCAAAAATCCCTTCCAGCTTTTGACCACCAAGCCTTGCTTTTGCTAAGTCATATAAACCTTTTCATATATCACTAAACCTCAGCTCAGGATTAAGTTTGTTCAGACTGACAT